TGCTTGTGCTCTGCGTGCTAGAAGAGACCAGAGGGACAAATCCTGCTGATTTCATTGAGTATGTGGGCCAAAATAATTCATGAGAATGAATCTAGAGTCAGGTTCTAGCAATAAGGACATGAAAAATCATCTCATTTTACAACACTGATAATCAGCAACTTGCAAAAAAAGAATCAGGAGCAAATATCTTGAACAAAGGTTATTTTCCTTTGGACATAGTTTAAATAGGCCATGTGGAATGGCAGATGTGACTAAACCTGAGTGGCTGCACGTCACGAGACCAAAGATAGAATGATGAGAATCAGCACCAATAAACCAGAACAAGAGTGAGAGGATGGGCCAGGCAGCATTTGGTTCCTCGTTATCAAACATGTCAAGAATAACCAAAACAAATATTTAGCCCAGCCTTGGGTGAGTACAGGATTAGATAGGAGAGTGCAGAAGGTTATTGTGATCCCAAATCATGGCAAATACCGACTTCCCTTTGGACTTTAGCAGAAAAGATGTTTTTGAGTGTTGCCTGTGTGCCCTGGGCTCTGTTTGCTCTCACACAAAGTCCACAGGCTGGGGGGAGACCTGTCCTGCTACTGCCAAAGCCTGTTTATCTTGCTTAATTATTTACTGGAATTCAATTTGGTGCTGCCTGCAGTGGCAAAGGAGGGGATCCTGTGGGCAAGCCAGGGCACTGGGATGGGGCTTATTCTTTAGAAAGGGGCACTGGGATGGGGTTTTGTTCTTAGAAAGCCATTGGGATGGGTTTGTTCCATTAGAAAGGAACTGGGATGGGATTATTCTCTTAGAAAGGCACTGGGATGGGGTTTGCTCTTTCAGAAAGGCACTGGGATGAGTTTGTTCCCTTAGAAATTAACTGGGATGGGATTTATTCTTTCACAAAGGCACTGGGATGAGTTTGTTCCTTTAGAAAGGCACTGGGATGGATTTATTCTTTCAGAAAGGCACTGGGATGGGTTTGTTCCCTTAGAAAGGCACTGGGATTTGATTATTCTTTCAGAAAGGCACTGGGATGGGGTTTGTTCCCGTAGAAAGGCACTGGGATGGGATTTATTCTTTCAGAAAGGCACTGGGATGGGTTCATTCCCTTAGAAAAGGACTGGGATGGGATTATTCTCTTAGAAAGGCACTGGGATGGGATCATTCTTTCAGAAAGGCACTGGGATGGGTTTGTTCCCTTAGAAAAAGCAGAATGGCCTGTACAGCACCCGGGAGGAAAGGGAGCACAGCTGGTCCCGTTTTCCTGGGAAGAACAGAGCCAGTGGAAGCTGGGGGACTGGCAGCAGAGTGTTCTGGGGTGAGCCCAGACCTTTTGCAACCGATGCACTGCTCCCCACGGGGCTGCCCTTCCTCTTTTCTACGTGGCACTGCCAGCAACAGGAAAGCCACCAGCGTCACCGTGGATGTGCTCCTGTCTCCAGCACTTGGCACAGAGCCCCCTCCCCAGCACTGCACGGCTGGGGCAGGTGATTTCTGCAAACTTCCTGAAGCAGCCCTTGGCAAAGTGCTCTGGCAGAGCCCCAGTCCCCACTGGGAGCAAACAGATCCACTCACTGACCCTCCTCTCTTCCCTTTGCCCCCCTTGGCTCATCCCCATGCAAACAAAGCTCAGCAGGAGCAGAAAAGGAAAAACCTGGAGGCTCCTGGGCTGCCACTGCCACCAGTGTCAGCACTTGACAGAGCTGTTCTGGGATTTGGCTTGCTAATGTCTGAGGAGTTGAGATGAGAACGATTATGGAGATGAGAGACAGAAGTCTGGGACAAATGCTGCTGGATTGCTTCTTATGGGGCATGTTCTCATCTGCAATCCTTTGTAATTGCAAAAAATGGTGCCTTGCAGATACCTTGAAGGGACTGGAGACAGACAGATGCATCTCCTCATCAGGCAGTCTGTCTTGATAGGCAGCCAAGATCCCAGGGGAGTGTGCATTATTTGCTATTATCATCACCACCACCTTCCCTAACCTCATTTCCCTGGAGGTTTGACTCCAGTGGAAATGCATGAAGGGCTGTCCTGGGGTTTAGGCTGTTTTTGTCAACCATGCTGCCACACAAAGTCCTTCCCATGGAATTTGTGCCTAAGGAATGGGTCACACACTGGTTTTTCCTGCAAGCTGCACTTGAAAGCCATGAGAGAGCAAAAACCTGGGAGTGCTGTGAGACACCTGCAGAGGCTGCCTGGCTCCCTCAGACACCAGCTCCAGGGGAGGGAAGCAGGGCAGCAGAAAGCCAGTAGCAACGAGCAGGAGTTGTTATGTTTGTGCCAAAACGGAGTGATGAACCCTGAGCTCTTTTTGCATATTGCATGTGCAAGAACATGATGTCAACAACTCCATGCTGCAACAGGAAACAGAAGATAAGATTTGGTGAAGCTTCAGCTCTTCCTGAGAACTGACCTGCCACTGTTTTCATTTCTGTTGTGCTTCACAAAGCCGAGGTTACCAACACAAATAATCTTTTTTGGCAGCTTCAGCCTCACTTTTATTTTCCAAGCCGTTTTAGGTGATTGCCAGTACATCTTTTATTTCTAAATACTTGCCTAATTTTGAGAAAGATGTGTGTATACAAATGCTGCTCCATCTGTAGTTTGGGCTGTACAGCCACAGCGTGGAACTTCCTGACTGGATGACAAAGAGGAATAAAAAAGAAAAAGAAAAATGATGTGCTAGTCATAAATTACTAGGCATTCCAGAATATATTTCTGGAGAAGTTATTTGTCCTAAAGATTCATATGCCTGCTTTATAATTGCCAGATGACTATGCAAATATTAGCAGTGACATGACAACAAATGACATCCCCCCACGTATGGAAATGAAGCGAAATCTAAATTTACGAGCCACTCATTTTCATTATTCATCTAAGCCTAATCACAAGCACTGGGAAATGTCACTGTAAAATCCATTGAGGGTTTTTTTGGTTTTTTTTTTTTTTTTTTTTTTTTTTTGTGAACTGAAAATCAGAGGGCTGTTTCTTTACTCTGACAGCTCACTGAATTTAGCACCTGCTGCCCCTGGTGTGCTCTCAGCCACGGCAGCTGAAATTCCTCTGAGTTTGTGGGGCACTGATGCCTGAGAGCACAGAGAATGATGCTCCACGTGGAAAACTGCTCCTGAAGGGAACAGAGGCTGGCACAATGGAGCCACTGATTAAGGAGAACAATCCTGGAGGATTTCCTATTATGCCGAACTTCAGGAGGAAACAGCGAAGCAACGCAAAGGAAATGAGTGCATTGGCTCAAAATGAAAAGGTCAGCCAGCCCCAACTTTTCAGCTTTGATATAAACCATTCCAACTCCCATTTTTATCGCAGATTATAGCTTCCCAAGGCCCTCAGGAAGTTGACAGAGAGATTGTGAGGTTATTGGGTGGTGTGAGAACGGAACTACCTATGATTTACAAACTTGTCATTGCGGCACAGCCACTTCTGTGCAACGAAGAACAAAGCATCCACCCAGCAGCATCCCTTTTGCATCCTCACCACACAGCTTTCAATAACAGCTGCAGGCAGCAGCAGAGACATTCAGGCTTCCCCCTTAAAACCCTCTGCAAAAGGAGTTGAACAGAATGCAGCGTGGACAGGCAAAAGCTGCAAATCTACATTCTAATTCATTCTGATCTACATCTACATTCATTCAAATCTAGATTCTCCCAGGTCTCCTTTGCATGGACATTGCTCAAAGTTAAACAGCAGTGACTGTAAATACAGCAAAATCTTTGATGCAAAGTGTTGTTTCATTTGGGAACAAAACCATACAGGACTCCTGTGCTCCATACACAATAATTCCATTGCCTCCCTTACACAACTTAACCTCCTCTGAATTTAATTCCCTTATTTATAAAATAGAAACAATAATATTTAACTTTCTGTCGTGGGCCATTGTGAAGTGGTGAATCTTCACTGCTTGTCTGAAGGAAAACCAAATTATTGCTGCCTGATCAAATAGACTATTTCTATTAATGCAATAGAGGCCATGGGATTCATATTATTTCAGTTGTGCCTCAGCTTTCTCAGCTTTTGTACAGCTTTGAAAACTGACTCTCAACTCTTTATGTCTGTTGAAAACAGATGCTGAGCTGGTTGATGCAGGTGTAAAAGGGTTTTATGGGATTTTAGCTAAGGAAGGACACAGTACACAGAGGGAAACCACGGCACTGCTGAGGTTAATGGGAATACTCACAGCATATAATACAAACCAGCTCCTTGTACAGCATCTTTTGTATCTCAAGAGCCTCACTAAGACATAACTAAAATACCAAATCTGAAAGGCTTCCAAACACTACCTAAGACAAGACTGGTAGAACAAAATTTCAGCCCATGTTACTTGAATGTATAATGAAAAATCCATTAGTGACTCACTTTTCCTAAGGATAGAAGGCAGCATCCTTATGAGTCAGCTTTCTGCTGAGAAAAAACTCCTGCCTTCAATGGAGCAGGAGCCACACCACTGAAAAAGCTCAATTATCAGCCATTACACTGTGGGACAGAGTGGGGAACAGGTAATGAAAAGAGCAAAAACACACGAAGGACTTAGCTCATGGTGGCCCTCTCAGCATTATAAGACTGACCTTTAAATTCAGTGAGAAATGAGAGTTGCATCAATCCATCACCTGCCTGGGAAATTTACTGCAGACCTCTCTGGAAGTCAGAGCACACATGGGTGCTGTGGCTGCACTGCTAACAAGGGTAGGGTTAAAACAGGCAGGTGTCTGAATGAATTAAGAGGGAAAAAAAGTAATAAAATTAAATGTACTGAGCATTATCAAATTTGGATGATTGTAAGGGATGACAAAACTTTTGTAGAGTGTGACAGATAACATCTACAAATAAAGAAGATGTAAAGAAGATGTAAAGAAGATATAAAGAAAAAATCATATATGTAAGAGGAAATGTGTTGAATACTGACCCAAAAAAAAAGTGATATGAGCTCTGAAACTGTTTAAAGAAAGTTTCTTGCATCTCTTTTAGAGTAAATGAAGGGAGTCACTTCTGTGAGCAAGGGTACATTTTATTTTTCATCTCTCACTTCAGCTCCTAAGTCCTTACTCAAGCAAAACTCCCACTGGAGTCAATTAAATCTTCTTTCTGATTTGAACCAACATAAGCAATGCAAGAGAAAAGCTTTCAGGCTTGTCAGCTTTTTCACACCTCTGGGCTGCCTGCAGTCATCTGCAGCAGGGCTGTGTCCACATGAACCACAGCACCTCAGAGCCACCCAGGCCAGCCTTTCGGGGGCTGCCATTCTCCCTCAGATCCGTTCTACACTAGATTCATTCCACTGTCTTCAGGAAACTTCAGCATGATTTTTGTGGGGGGGGTGAGTCACAGAGTTTGGTCCTCCACCTGAAATAATATTATCAGTGGTTTTGGATGGCCACGATGCTGCCTCACGCTTCCACGCCTCCCCCTCAGCGCTCCTGCCTGGGATGTGCTGCCCACACAAGGCCACCAGGACGGGACTGCAGCATCGTGCCGCTCAGCAGCAGGACCTTTCTTCATTTATTCCCAAATAAGTTTCTCAGCTGTGTCACAGATGACCCATAAATCTTACTAAAACGGATTGATTTCACAGCGAGAGAGCTCCCTGCTGAAATTCTTCACTTCCCCCTTCTCTGGCTCCCCCCCACACCAGCATTTACCATCAGTGGCTCAATCGCTTTTGCAATTAACAGCAAAAGGCAACAGCAAATTTTCTCCAGGCACTGCTGCTGGGAAGGAACTTTCCCTTCCAGGGGGTCACTTTCATCTTCCCACCAGTTCTGACCAATTATTGCCCTCTCTGGGGCAACCACAGCCACCTTACCCCATTTCCCTGCCCCGCCTCAGCGGGGACATGGGAACAGAACGTCACCTACGTGAACTTTACGTGGCCCCACGGGACCAGGGGAACACCAGAGGTTCCTCATTTACACAAAGCAGCTCCAGCCATGACTCATCTCTGCCTTGTCACTGTGACGAGGCTTCTGATGGCGAGGGGATGGCTGCGTCCTCCGTCACTCCCGTGTCCCCAACGTCCAGCCTCTCGCAGAGCCTGCAAGTGGGGAAACAGCAAAATGTAAAACGAGCCCAGGAAATTTCCCTGCAGCGTGGGAAAGCTGAGCTTCTCCTATTTCATCTCCTGCATCTCCTCTGCAAGGCTTTGCTGGTGTAGCTTGGTGTCCACCAAGCATCCATCAAATCTCTGTCCTCCTGGAGAAAGGCCTTGTGTGAATTAACATCACGGTTCACATCATTCCCCATGTATCAACCAAGGCCAGAGGACTGCTTAGAATATTGGAAGAGGGCTGAAGGATGTTGTCCTGCACTCTAAACCAGTGGTAACTCAGCTGAGATCATCCTTCTCCATGTCAGGAACAACTCCACAACACTGGGACTGGGAATCTGCTGTGACTCCCCTGGACAAGAGTGGGTTTCAATCTCTTTAAGTTTTGAAGTTTTAGGCTCAAGGAGTTAACCTCAATGTCCTCCATGGCTCTAACTTACCTCTGGAGGAGACCTTTTGCTGTACACAGGTTTGAGAGGGAATCCAGGAAAATAAATTTAATTAGGCTAATGTTAGCCTCAGTGGCTGCCCCTGTAATGAAGTTTTCTTCTTCCTGATGCTGTTCACACCATTGTCACCAGCAAAAAACATCCACTTATA